AACCTCGCTTTAACTTTTTCCATATCTTCCAATTCTTTTTTAACCAATCTCAGTTGTTTTTCAGTTGCATTTTATCTTATTCTCTTTCAGTACTTTTTTTATGATATTTTGTCATATTTCTTTATGAAAATAAGTGGTTGGCCTATTTACCAGTTCAACCTCTCTCAAACATAGATCGCAAAAAATTAACTTCATTTCTTTATTCCACACAGCTGAAGATCCAATTTCTTTTGACTTACCCATTAGAACTACTAGCATGAAAATAACCAATGAACATACTTTCTCAAAACACGTAGTTACTCTAAAAATGCATTTATCAAATAATAACTTGAACTCATCAAAATAGGAATCAAAACAGAAAGCAATCCACAATCCCAGAATCCTTTCTCAACATTTGAACAAGTAGTGGCAACATCTAAGGCCATCACTAAAGGCAGTTCAAATGCTAAGGCAACCTAAGAAATCAAAGGGCTTTGACATTACCATTAACTTAAGGTCATAGCAACCATCTACTTCTTTAACAAAACATACAAAGCTCCCGAAACATTACTATTAATAAATCCAACAACATCTTTCATCTAATTTTCAAATTATTGATGCCATATCAAAATTCATGATAAAATGCCAACCCATAGTCAAAACATACACAACACTTGAAATATTGTTATTAACAAATCCAACAATTTTTTTTCATCAATTTTCAAGTTCTCATTCAAATATGAAAATTGTTGATAAAAATCCCATCCCATGTACATTCACAACATCCGAAACATTGTTATTAACAAACCTGACACCTGCTTTCATCCATTTCTCAAATTCCTACTCAAATATGAAAACTCTTGATAAAATCCCAACCCCATGGGCATTGCTTGATAACATCCGAAACAATGCTATTAATCCATAAATCTATCCACTTTCATCCATTTCTTAAATTCTCATTCATATCAAAATTTATGATAAAATCCCTACCCATATTTTTCAATAACAAATTGAGCACCATAAACCGAACATGGCAAAGCCACCAGGAATGTCATATCATCACACCAACATACCACCAGCACCGCATCATAAACACTAACATACCACCACCACCACATCATCACAACCAACACACTATCACCAATACTACCATCATCATATCATCAACACCAACACGACAACCAACACATCATCAACACTAACACACCAACACACTAGCACACCATCGCCGCCGCATCATCACGACCAGCATACCACCACCACCACATTATTACGACCAACATACGACCGCCATCATATCATCACGACCAACACGCCACCACCACCATCACATCATCATGACCAATGCCACCATCGCATCATCATGACCAACACACCACCACCACCATCACATCATCATGACCAACGCCACCACCGCCACCATCACACAATCAACACACCGCCACCATCACACAATCTACACAACACCGCCACCATCACACATTCAAAACCATCACACAATCAACACACCGCCACCATCACACAATCAACACACCGCCACCATCACACATTCAACACAACACCGCCACCATCACACATTCAACACAACACCGCCACCATCACACATTCAACACAACACCGCCACCATCACACATTCAACACAACACCGCCACCACTCCCATTTACAACAACACACCACCACCACCACACTATCAGCACACCACCACCACCACTCCACTCCACCACACATACCACGTACACAGCACCACCCAAACACCCCAACCACCTAGAGGCCACCAAACTTAATGCACATTCCTTCTGAGAAGAAGGACAACCCACCTAGACCAATCAAACCAAGAAATGGAGCATACACAGAGGCCACAAACCAGAAAGAGCTTCCCAGCCTTCAAAATTCATTGAGATAAGCAAATTGTAAGTCTATTCATTTTAGAGGCCACAAATTTTAATTTCATTCATTCCAATGCCCTCAAATTTCAAGTTTAATCATTCCACAGACCAAAAAAAGCAAGTCACAAAACACATTAAACTAAAAACCGAATAAAGCAAAGAGCACCAAAAAAAAAAAAAAAAAAGAGAATACCAAAATCCAAAATCTCATCCTCATAGTAACAAAATATTAATTTCACAGTAGAGCAAAACCATAAATCACAAAAAGAAAGCCACACGGTCCAAATGAACCTCAAACCGCAAAGAGAAATGATAAAAAATACCATAGGAGGACGGAGAGCAAAGGAACCAAACGGATTTACGAGAGAGGATAGGACTCCTTGTGACTGAGTCGTGAGAGAGAAGAGGACCCCGCAGGGCAGAGATGTGAGGGAGCCAGAGGCGCGAGAGAGAAGAGGATAGGGTGGGGATGCGAGAGATTTGGGCGAGAGGGTAACTAAGTAAACAAATGTCATAAAAACGCAGACAACAGGGTCAAACCCCTGACTTGCATTTAGGGGTGCTTTTCTTAAAACAGTGCAACACTGCATGATCCAAATGAGCAATTCCATGTTTTCCAATCATGACACAGCTAGGAAGCTGCGCCAAACAGGCTCTAAATGAAACAAGCCCTGCCTAAACTAAGTGATAAAAGGAATGTTAGCATTGTCTCGTGGTTGGATGCTCCACCCACTCCTTTCAGCCATGCACTTTCAGCGGAAATTGATCACTTCTTGTTATTGTTCCCTTCAACGATAATTCCTTTCCTATTGAACATCATTTTTTTTTGGGTTAATAGAAAGGATGGCAAGTAACTATGCCTAGGTAGTGTCCCAATGTTCCAATTGCTTCTTTGCAGCCACTAAGCAATCCCCGATCTTGTATCAAATGACAACTCGGCGTTATGATGTGAAAGTAAGGTTGTGTTTTCCAACTAGGCAAGGTGGTTGAGTGGGTGAACGACAAGAGAGGTGGTGGGATAGCCTGTGGGGTTGGTTAGTGTTCAAGTGCTCTTGTATTGAGTATAAGTGAGCCTATGTAATGACCTTAAGGATGGTTGCCGCCATAGTTGTCGTGGTCCCAAAGGTCCTTCCATTCTTTTTTGTATTATAGGCTCTCCAACATTGGTCGAGCATGTATAGGCCTGTAAAAAAAAACTCGTTGTTTGCGAATAACTCGTGTTCGTCTTGTTCGTTAAGTAAATGAGTTGAACACGAGCAAACCTTTGTTTGAACATGTTTGGCTCGTTTTAGCTCAAAATAAAGAAATTATATATATTATTTATATAATCAACAACATCAAGCCTTTAACCTACTAAATGGGGTTGACTACATGAATCATTTTTCTCCATTGTGTCCTATTGAGTGTCAAATTTTAATTTAACTCTAATAAATTAAGATTATTTTTTATACAATATGCCAAGTCTTTCTAGGCCTACCTCTGACTTTTTTAACATAAGTCGAATCTAAAACATCTACTCTCCTAACCGGACCATCAGATGGTCGACGTTTAATGTGACCAAACCATCTAAGACGACTCTATTTAATTTTTTCTGCCACTGAATTCGTTCCAATCTTATCATAGATATATTCATTTTGCATTTTGTTTCTAAATGTCAAGTCATTCATCCACATAAGTATTCTCATCTCTGCATCACTTAACTTTGCTTTATGCTTCTCTTTTAAGGGCCTACATTTTGCGCCATAGAGCATTGCAGGTCTCACCACCATCTTATAATTTTTTTTTTTCCAGTATAAGTGATACTTTTCTATCACGCAATAGACCCAAATCATTCATCCACTTCAACCAACCAACTTGGATCTACTAATAACATCCCTATATATATCACGATCACTTTGAATAATATACCCAAGTTATCTAAAGCGTTCACACGTTTTAATGATTTGATTATTCATAGTTACAACTCTGTCACTAAAGCTACTACGACTAAAATTAGATTTCATTATTCAATTTTATTTCTACTCAAACGAAGGCCTTTAGACTCAAATGTAGGCATCTATAATTCAAGTTTTTTCTGAACTCTTTTTCTAACCTTATCCACAAGTAAGATATCATCAATGAAAAGCATACACCTGGGTACATCCTCCTGTAAATGTCCATTAAGTGTATCCATAACTAAAACAAAAAGATATTGGCTTAAAACTGATCCCTGATGTAATCCAACTGAAATTGGAAAATATTTGGCCGATCCTCCTCCTTACACCAAGGTACATCCTCTTGTAAATGTCCATTAAGTGTATCCATAACTAAAGCTAAAAGATATTGGCTTAAAACTGATCCCTGATGTAATCCAACTGAAATTGGAAAATATTTGGTCAATCCTCCTTCTGTTCAAGCACAAGTGACAACTTTAGTACGCATATCTTTAATGATTTGAATATAAGTCATATTAACACCTTTCTTTTCTAGAATTCTCCAAAGAATTTCTCTTGAAACCTTATGTAAGCTTTTTCTAAATCAATTAAAATCATAAGTAAATCCTCGTTCTCTCTGTACTTCTCCATCAAACCTCTCAATAAATTTATAGCTTCCATAGTAAACTTGCCTGACATATATACCTACGTCTATTTTTCCTAATTAATTTTAACAAGCCAATTTTGAGCAAAACACGAACAAAAATATTTATATTGAGCCGAACACGAATACAATGTTCACGAACCTATTTTTAACACGAGCTGATTTTAAACACGAGCAATTTTTGAGTTGAACACGAGCCAAGCTTGAGCTCGCTCAAGCTCTGCTCGTTTACCGACCTAGGCATGTATCCAGCTGGAGACGTGAGGTTGGGGCTGGTTTTTTTGCTGACAACAGTGGGCATAATTCTAGGAGGTAGAATTTTATGTTTGATTTTCCACAGTAATACGTATTAATTTATTATAATTCAGAGTATATTTAGTTGGATTTATGCTTGAGCATAGTTGTCAAACTGATTTAGTCTTACATGATGAATAATTGTACCCGGTGTACAAATTTCTTTTCCTTAGATCATTATTTATAGTGTAATCTGTGTTTCTTAGAAGTTTTGTCGTTTCTGAAGTTTTCCCTGGTTGAATTATGATCTATTTTCACCCAAGATGACAATTCAACATCTTCTGCAAGTCAGAAACAAGGCAACAGCAGCCAGATATCTTTTATTCCTAGGAGATTAATCATCGGAAATAACGAGTATGCTCATCCACTTTTCATGATTAAAAATTATTTCCTACCTCACTTTTGGAGTTTGATTTTGCGGGACTTCATATTTATTGCAATTGTTTTTTTTTTTTTTTTTTGGCTTTGTTAGATATGTTGGAATTGGCAATGGCAACCAGCTTATTAGAGATCCAAAGAGACTTAAACGTATTCTAGCAAATGAAAAAGTTCGATGGAGTTTGCACTCAGCTAGGTTAAGGTTGGCCCAGAAGAGTCAATTTTGCCTATTTTTTACGCGGTTTGGCGAGTGCAATAAAAGTGGAAGGAGATGTCCTTACATTCATGACCCTACTAAGGTTGCCATCTGCACTAAATTTCTAAAAGATCAATGTTCTGATACTCATTGCAAGTTAACCCATAAGGTATAGATGTGGCTTTGCCTGCATTATCTCCTCTCTGAATTTTTCTTACGTATAAGTTTTCTATTGCGTGAAACCAATTTTATTTATTTTTTTCAGGTTATTCCTGAAAGAATGCCAGACTGTGCATACTTTCTGAAAGGTAACTCGGCCTTATCTTTTTTAATTCAATTTTCTGTGGATTACATTTACCTTCATAACTAAATGCCATATTTGCAGGAATGTGCACCAACATTAATTGCCCTTACAGACATGTAAAGGTTAATGCTAACGCTGCTCTGTGCGATGGTTTCCTCCGAGGACACTGTGCTGATGGTGATGAGGTATTTTAGCTTTCTTATGTTTGTCGAAGATGCTTTCGAATTACTTCATGTTGTATGAGAAAAGTAGTTTTTTTTTTTTGGCATTGACATACATGGCACATAATTCTCATGTTTTTACATGTCACACACCTAAACGTTCATATTTACACACACGACACTCAAAACTTTATTATCACATAGAAAAGTGCATTATTACCATTTTTTAAAAGTGAAATGCACATTTTCATGCAAATTTTAAAGCACTAAAATGCCATATATGTAAATAATGAAGTTTATGTGTGAAATATTTGACTACATAAAAAATGTGTGCTACTTATATAAATTTCCCTTTTTTTTCGTTATACCTATAATATATTGCTTTCGAAAGTGCCTCACCAAGTAAGTTCATGTATGAAAAAAAAATTTCACTTACAGACTTATTGTTACTTTACGTTGTATTATCGTCCAAAGCTTTGAGGAATTGTTGTAAATAACAAATTGTATGCCATCAAGTCATCAACTCCATTTGCGAATTTTTGATTGCGCATTGAAATGTTGCGAAGTGTAACAAATCTGAATGAAATGCATTCTTCAAACAATGCTTAGTAAAACAATTGACTGTTCAATTCAAATTTAAAGTGCTGCATCTTTTCTCATTTTTGTTATGTGGTGTTTTGGAAATTGCTTGAAGGGGATTTAGACAGTCGACCATCAGTTTAAAATGTAGTTCAAATTAATTCAAGGCTATTCCACATGAAATGTATTCTTAATTAAATCAAAGCTATTCTACAACTGAACGGCAACTTTTACATATAATTTCCAATCAACATAATTAACATAAACCTAAGCGAATCCAAACAAGATTGACCTAAATTTATATTTAGTTTAGAGCAGCAGCTTAATTATCTATTGAAAGCATGATAATTGTAAATTTTATTACATTAGAGCAGTAATGCCCCAATTAGTTAGCTTTATGTCCAAGAATAAAAAATCAAGAAGTGAGAGAGCTGTCACACCTTCCACGAATTCAGTCTTAATTATCAAATCATCCATGATGAACAATTTATAGGTCTGGGTTTTCTTCCATATCGTGAGTTTTAGTGGGAAATAAATCATTAAGGGGTACTCTCACTCTGGTTGGCAGGCTTCCTTGCCGCCAGTGGAGCCCCCTTTGAAGAGAGTATATACTGCATGGAGAAATAAAGTTCTCTCCCTTGATCTGATACCCCATACGCGCATCAGAAAACTCATTGGATTGATGATAAAAACCGTAGCACTATTCTTGACTTGTGTTTTTTATTCTTGCCGGTTTGGATATGAAATAGATGCCATTTTATGTCTTTTTTAAAAATACTGTCCTTTTCTTTGATATTTTTGTTATAGGATGGTTTACATACATACCACTTAATTCCTAAGTCTTTACCTATCTAACACCTAAACTTCCATTTTTAAATGTATGCCACCTTACCTATGCATGAGAAGGTGTATTTCACTCAAAAGTTAAAATGGCGGTATTTTTGATGTGATGTGAAAGATTTGAGTGATATAAATGTAAAAAGTGAACTTTAGGTGTTAGATATGTAAATCTATATAAGAATTTTGTGGTATGTATCTAATGTATTCAGCTTATATTATACAAGATATTTTTAGCTGCTCTGGGATCTGTCACATCTGTTTTTCATGCTAATTATTGAATTTATTTCTCAAAAACAGTGTCGTAAGAAGCATAGCTACACATGCCCTCTCTTTGAAGCAACTGGAAGTTGTCCTCAAGGATCTCTGTGCAAGCTTCATCATCCTAAAAACAAGAGTAAATCAAAAAAACGGAAACGAAGTGAGATCCAAAACAGCAGCCATGGCCGTTACTTCTATTCCATTATTGGCAAGGAAGGTTCAGCTGAATCTGTAGAAGTTCCCTCCGGCCAAAATGATTTGGAGGGTGATAATGACATTTTCTGTTCTGATGGAAGATTTACTGAATATATCAATCTTGATGATGATGATGATGATATTGTCGCCTTAAAAAATGATCGTTCATATACGGGAGAGTTGGACTCTGGCTTCCTTGATTTTCAGTCTTGCGATATTGATGTGCTGATAAAGCCTATTAGGATCAATAACGGCGATGACATGACAATATTTTAATCTTTATATGATAAAATTGTTATTTTTATAACCTATTCAAGTTTTGTTTTCTCAGTTTTCTCTTTCTTTTTTTTTTTTTCTATTTTGATTTTATCTCAGGTTAATGGGTTGGTTACATACCATTCAAAATCTTTATTTTTCTTCTCAGTTGTCAACGACCAGCATACAAGGTAATAATTTTTTGATGATTTACATAGATACCACTCAATTCTTATGTATTTTCGTATCTAAAACATCTATACTTCTATTTTTACATATATCTATACATGAAAAGGTGTATTTAACCTGTTAAAAGTTAAAACAATGATATTTGTGATCTTAAAGATTTGGGCGGCATAAATGTAAAAAGTGAAATTTAGGTGTTAGATATGTAAATACATAGGAATTTGCTGGTATGTATGCAAGTGCAATATTTTTTAACTCTATTTATTTTTGCTGTATAAATTACGTGTGTAATGTTGAGCGTATGTATTTAATTTGGTAATATTATTATAGAAGAAGAATGAACATTTGGTTTGCAATTGCTCTTTATTGGAGATCATTTATTTTAATGCATGCTACGTTGGTGCTGTTTTTACCTCTCTGAATTAGTGCGCATGAAACTGTTAAGCGTAAGCAAGCACCTTGTATCATTTTGTTATTGACATAGATACATAAGACGGGCTAGATACATGCATATACGCATATCATTGTGTGTTTTATATTAATACATAGACAATGGGGTACCTTTGAAATAGGGGATCTTTGAATTAGGGAAATGCCCATTTTCCCTCGATACAGTTTTAAATCTATGGTGTTCAAATGAATAATCTTGGTTTTAAAACTAGATCAGATTGACTGGTTTGACCAGGTCAAAGCTCTGTCCAGTTCGATCCAGTTCCAGAACTGTTTTTGCTCAGAACTAATCTGAATTGATCGTAACTGATGGTTAAGCTAAGGAATCAAGTAACCTTTTTGCTTTCTGATGAACTACTTGATTTTATTGTTGGTCAATTTATATTTTTGCTAAAAAAAAGGATTAAAAATGGAGAAAATAATTAAAAGATCATTTCTAATTTTTTGATTTAAAATCATATTCAAAATGTTGGAAAGTAAATTTATTGTTACGAGGGCGACTAGCCTAAAGGCAAATTTATCTTTTGTACGCTTAAGGAAAATTTAGTCTTTTATTATTATTATTGTTAGATATAAATACACTTGTTATGTCTAGGGTTAGGTTTATGCATAAAATTGAGTTGTGAGTATTAGGTATAGTGTTTGCGAGAGATTTCCTTTCTCTCGAATTGTAGTAATTGAGAGAGATCGCCTACCTCTTGAATTGTTATCCTTTGTATTTGTGTGAGTTATTTGGTTTTTTGCAAGAAGAATTTTTGTTTGCCCTAATTTCCACAAAAATCTGTGTGGATTTCTACATCTCATCATATCAGTTGCATAATTTAGAAAATTTTACATTGAATTGATGGAAATATCATTATTGCATCATTAGTTTTTTAAATCTTATTGAAATAATCTTACTATTTATTTATAAGTCATTCAATTCAATTTTATTTTAACATTTGAACTTTGAAGCTCTCCATCCTTTGGTTCAATGGCGGGTTTGACTTTCAAAATCTTGTGAAAAGGTATGAACTTTATTCTTTAGTCTCATTAAACTTGGTGTATACATGATTTCTCGCATTTTTTTAATTTTTGAACTATGCCTTACAGATTTATCAAATGTATTCGAGAGAAATTCCTTGATAGATGTTTTGTGATTCTTGGTACTTAGGTTCTCTAAATTAGTGGAGTTCAACACTTGTTCTATTTATTCTATGCACTGCCGTTCAATGGCTGAGATGTTCGGAAATATCCAAGCACAAGTGATATTTTTTTGTGTCATTTACATACCACCCAATTCCTATCTATTTACTTTTCTAACACCTAAACTTTACCTTTTACACTCATACCACCCAAATCTTTCATATCAAATAAAGAAATTATTTCTATTTAAACTTCTAAAAGGTGAAATTCATCTTTTTTGCATAGATAATGTGTCATACGTGTAGAAGTTGAATCCTAAACTTTACCTTTTACATTCATACCACCCAAATCTTTCATATCAAATAAAAAAATTATTACTATTTAAACTTCTAAAAGGTGAAATTCATCTTTTCTTGCATAGATAATGTGTCATACGTGTAGAAGTTGAAGCTTAGGTGTTAGATATGTAAGTACATAGGAATTAAATGTTATATTCTCTGTTGTCGATTGAATGAAACGTGTTGATCTCATATTTGAAGGCCATAGAAAGATGTCATCTTTAAATAAACTTAGGAGAATTAAAATAGGTACTTGATTTGTGATTTATGTAGCTTTTATCTTGATAAATAGCTAGTACTTAATATAAATTTTGTATTTGATTTTTGAGAACAGCTTGAATTTGCAACGATAAGATGCATCGATAAATAATGCTAAAAGATTTACAAGGAAACAAGCAACCACAGCAACAGCAATAAAAAGTTTTTATCCCACTAAGTGGGGTTGGCAACATTAAGAAGGAAACATGGAAGAGCAAAATTTACATGGAGAGAAGTTGTGCAAAATAGGTTAACAATTAACACCTCATGCAACGAGTGGGGTCGGCAACATTAAGAAGGAAACAGGGAAGAGCAAAATTTACATGGAGAGTAGTGCAAAATAGGTTAACAATTAACACCTCATGCAACACAATAGTGGTAAATGGAAAATGAGGATTTATTGAGCCAACACCAATAATAGAGATAAGGTAGTGATAATGACTGTCTATCCTTTTAAAGGTGCATCTGGCACTTTTGTATTATACGCATGGCAAAAATGAAATTTCTTGGTACTCTTTATGGTAAATTCATTGTTAAAGTTTCATCCACAAGTTATTTCTCTGTTTCAATTAAAGCTGTTTGATAATTTTTGCCATAGAAACAAAACATTCAGGAGAAGGATATGGGAGGCGGTTGGAAATTGTTGTGTGCTGTTACTTTTAGAATTTCTTTTCCGAAATCTTTCCAAAAATCAGCTCCCCAGAACTAGTTAAAAATTTGAATTGCAAAGGCAGTGTGAGAATTATAGAAAGTGAAACTTTTGTTTTTGACATTACCTAATGAAATACCGATTTGCATGTAAATCGTTCATGAATTCAATGGAATAGTGTTATGCTCAAATTCATTCACTATGGAAAATTATAATTATAACTAATTAATCCATAATTAACACAACTAATCAATAATTTACATATAAGTCATATTTAGAAAATGTTCATAGCTTGCTTATGATTTTACTCACTTAAATTTGGTAGGCACGTGTGAGCAAGATCATAATTATGAGTAATTAAGTACATGTTCACTAATTTTATAATTAATCAATTTACATATTTAATTCACTGTAAACTAAAATCCAATCAAATAAATCACCAAAAAATATAGTAAAATATGTACTAAATTTTGTAATAATTGAAACATAATTTAGAATAAATTAAACTACAATCAAATTTGTTTTTAGTGTGTTCATCATATTTGAGTCCTTGGTAAAATTTAACTTAATCAATTTATAATAAACAAATCTCTAAACACGTCGGTCTTTACTATATTTATTTGGTCTTGGATCTTCCCTTCTTAAGTAGCAAGTGATCCAAATAAATTTAGGGTGTGGTTGGGGTAGCTTTAGAATTGATTTTCGTTTCGAAAAGTCGTCTCACGGGCTTTTGGGGCACGGCGCTTCGTAAAATTATGTCCACGAAACATCCTTTTACAAACGGTGGGCTTCCATGCCTTCCGCGAATGTTCCACAACACAATTCCGAAATGGACAATGCTACCCCTGAGTTATTTCGCGAAATTACCAGCCTAACTGATAAATTGAAGGCAAGAAACACTAAACACACCCTAGGGCTTTCTGTATCAATGCTGGTTGAAGCTCTGCGCACTTTCTCTTCTTAGTCGCCACTTTTGCCTTCAATTCTTCGCTCCAGGCGGCTTTTAATGATACCAGAGTTAACCCAAACAACAATAAAAAAATATATATATTATTATTGAAATCAAATTCGAGATTATAACCAAACACACTGAAATATGAAATAACAACGGTCACGACACACAAACGCACACTAGGGTTTGATCCAATGTGGTGGTGTTCGGCTATGAGGTTTGAAAGGGGCGGCAAGTGGCGAGAATGATGGTACGGGCTTAGGGATGAAGTATAACAGCGGTTGGAGTGGTTTTTTGGGAATGGTAGCGAGTAGGGGGTGATTGTACAACAGGAAAACAATAGGTTTGTGGTTCTCCAGATGGCGCAAGCGAGGAATGGGGATTGGGAGTAATGCGGGAAGGTTGGGGAAGGGTGGAGGCTATGGTAAACAACACAAGGGGTGGCTGGTGGCTGGTTCTGCAAGAGGACGACAAAGGAAATAGCAATAGGATGTTGTTCCAGGCAGCTGGAACAAGGAAGGAGTGGCCGGGAGTAACGTGGGAGGATGCGGAAGGGCATGGGTGAAGATAATCACCATCTCGGGAGTGAGATACAGGCGGACCACCACTAGACTCCTAGATATTGTTCTCAAAGGGAAAAATGGAGATACTGTTTGCTGTCCCAAATAAACTCATGCAAAAACTTGACTCCTAACTCTCAGGAAAACAAATATATAATAAAAGGATAACTTAAAGTAGCCCATGAGGATTGACCAACTTCTCAGAGGAGAAAAAATCTGGATCGGTTTGGTACAGGCGGAGCAAGCGCTCTGCTCTTGTGCTATATGTGGGACGCCCTGCGTCATTTAGCTTTGTTTTTCTTTGTAGCATTTGCATGTTGGTTTGAAAATTTTTAGAATTTTTTGCTTCTTTGTTAATGTTCTAGAGTAGAGGGCTTTTTTTGCATCTCAGTTGGTTGATTTATGTAGAAAACAAAAACATTTTTGAGTGCTAGTAAAAAAATATTTTCAAGAAGTGAGGGCTTTTCTTGCATCTCTGTTGGTTGTTCTATGTGAAAATGACGACATTTTTTATTGTTTATTCAATCGATTTACATGAGCAATAGTATGTAGGTCTT